GAACTGAGTGGGCCTGAGAGAGGAGAAATGGTGACCCTGCAGGGTAAAGCACCTTCCCTGGTCAGGGTGGGAGAGGTGACTGCTGGCAGAAGATGCCAAGGATCCCTCTGCTTCCAATTGCTGTGAGAGCAGTAAGGGCTGTGGTGAGCTGCATTTTGGCCAGGCTGTGGTGAGCTGCATCAGCCAGAGGGTGGGTTAAGGCCAGAGCCTGCTGGGTGTCCTGCTCAGGATGTTACCAGCCCACTACACTGTTGCAAAACAACTCAGTCTCACTATTTCTGCGTCAGTTTGAACACTCCCCTCGTCCATTTTGCCTTAAAACCTTGAGTCTATTCATGTGGAAGGTTACACTGAACTCCAGTGGCACTGAAGAGGGCGATCCCAGTGGCTGCGCTGTTTTCCTTTGGTTAGTGTATAATATGGATGCAGTTACAGAGACAACAGAGGGTTTTTTCTTCTGTGTCTTCTCAGCAACAGTCATTTTTTGGCACACCCATCATGAGTGAGAGCAGCTCAGCCTGGCTGAGCCAACCTACGCAAGAAATTCCCCACCTGGATGAGCCCAATATGCAAGGAGGGAAGCTGGCTGTGGTTCACATGTGATGTACATTTCTGCACAGCAGTACCAGCCCCTGCACGCACTTCCCTTGCACATGGATGCTCGACCCTCAGTTCTTGTATTCCAGTTTAACCAGTCTTGCTAGAGACAGGGATGGGAGCGGGGAGGAGGAAAAGCTTCAGACAGCAGGAGTGTCTGCGGAGGAGTTGTATTGATTTACATGAAGAGAAGACTCCAGCTCCACACTCCCACTTTTTAAAGAGATGGGGGATAAGCAAATGCCCAGGAGCACAGACCCCACTGTGCTGCAGAGGAGGAGCAGAGCAGCAGGACATAGGCATGGTCTGTGCCAGCCTCCACCAGGGCTTCCTAAGGGTCACTCACCCACTGCTCTCCGTATCCGTGTCTGCTCCGTGCCGCCGTCCAGCAGGGCTGTCAGCCTCTCCACGCAGAAGGAGGCTGTCTGCCTCTCGCTGCCGAGGTCGGGGTTCACGCTGCCGAGCACTGACCCCGGCGAGTACTTGCTGGTCTCCAGCAGAGCCATCCTGGAGGCTGCGCTGCTCTGCAAAGGGACGGGGCTCCTCTGGCACTGGCACCCGTCAGTGATGCCTGATGGGGTGTTGGCACAGCAAGGAGTGGTTTTGGTAGGTTGGCCAAGATGTTGTACCTGCACAAGGGTTGCATGAATATTTTGGCACTGTCCCGTCCTCTTTGCAATGGACAATGGAGATTTATGGTACTTTAAAGAACTCGAACTGCAGGGTTTATAACGTATTTTAAAACATGGAATATTTTTCTTTTCCCAGACTGTCCCCAATATTCTATGAGAAGTTCATGCTGGAATATCCCAAACTATATGTTAATGTTTACAGGAGTTTCTGGCCCAGGGCTCACAGTGCTGCCTCTGTCCCCGGGGCTCAGCTTTACATTAACCCCTAACCTAATGTTAGTGAGATTGGTCACAGGACACTAGTAAAAACAAAAGCCGTGGTGAGCAGAAAATAAATCAAATTTTCCCCTTGAAGAGACTGCTGCCTTTCCAAACATCAGATTACTTTAAGAAATACAAACCCTGGAAACCACTGCAAACGTGTTATTAATTCCTGCTTTTGCTGACATTCAGGCCTTTAGTCCAAGGCGTCTTGCTGGAGAGAGCAAAGTCTCGGGGCAGCACACAGGGTTGGGGTAACGCGGCGCTGCCCTTGAGCCGTCACGGGGAGCGCGGGGCTGGCGCCGGGAACGCCTCGGCCTCAGCTTCCTCTTCCGTGAGGAAAATGCGATTGCTGTGTCTCCGTGCAAACGCAGCCCCCCTCGTACCTGGTGTCAGGCGTCCCCCGCGGAGCCGTCCGGCCGCTGCTCCCCGCCTGGGCCGCGGCTCGGGGCCGTGTACCGGGACCTTGTCCCCGGGGCGGGCGGCGCGGCCGCGGCTGCTCCTGCGAGCGCTGACCTCTGCAGGCAGGACAGTCCCACAGGCCCTGCCTGCCAGGGCTCTGCGCTCCGCACAGGGCTGCTCCTGATCCCGCTAAAGGCAGCTGGAGACTGCACTTCCAGCTCCGTCACAGAAGTGACACCCTGCCCTTCTCCGGGTGTTTTTAATTTTGATTTATTGTTTTCCTAGCCTGCTCCGGGTGGAGAGCAGCACGCCTGGGGCTGGCGCTGCTCCTTGCCCGGGGGTTTGACGTGCTCTCAGGGATTTCCCAGCCCTGTGGCACTGCCCTCAGCCCTGCCCGCAGTGCGGGGAGCAGGGCTGGCA